GAAGAATGCAGACCCTTTTTATTGAAAACATGCAAGTAATATTAAGTATAAAGTTAGAACCACGATGCAACTATGCTTACAGTACATAACTGTAACATGCATTGGGTCGGCTCGACCGGGCTAGGAATACGCTATCACAGAATACCAGCGTGAAATATCAGAATAGTGCTGCTGTGTTTCATATGGTGAGTGTAGCGAACCGGAGACCTTTCTACTGGAAATGAGGCATTCTATCATAGCCCTCAGGGCTGACAACACATCTGCTTTTTGACTCTTAACCTAGGATAGAGGTAGATGTGTGGACTACTTGCTCGTTTACCACCCTCATTTTGAATGAATAATGAAAAAATATCTTTATTTGCTTTGAACAACAGAGTTTTTGCTTATAGTTGGACTTATTATTTGATAAAGAAAACAAAATAAAATAAAAATAAATTAAATAAAAAGTTTAAAGAATAGCATGCAAATAATATTTATTTTAATGACGAAATCATAAAATTTATAATTTAATGATGTCTTATAATATATATGCTAACACAGCACATTGAAAAATATTAATTTTACGGGTGTGATCGCGTTTAATTTCGTTTAATATTTCAATAAAGATGGAGACTGGTTACTACTGCTTGTGATCCTGTAATTAATAAAATAAAAACTAAATCCAATTATACCACTGCAAAACCTCAGGACACAGAAGCTCATTCTGCGTAAATCGGATCAATAGTAATAAATAAAAGCTGAAAGTATACTTTGACATCGGGACGTCAATTAACTCATAACTCCCTGTGACCATGGATGCACGGGTGTGCATGGGTTTAAAGCACCCGAAACGTCAGGAATTTTAATTAAATTAGTCGCGACAAAAGCCGTAAAAATAAACTGACACTGAAAACTTCTTTAATTCTGTCAAACAAATGTTGAAAAAGTCAACAATGGAGTGTTTTTAAACTCATTACTATTAAAAAACACCAGTTATCTTCACTTACTATATGTTACACACCACTATACTACTATACGCTGGTGTTCTGTGTAAGAGCTCCTTCTCAGTCGAGCTACACTACGTGCTGCAGCCATTATACCTTGCCGCAAGAGGGGGAACCGAGCATGCGGCTCACCTAATGTTAAATTACTACCGCCATCCATGAACAACTGTAACACCAAGCGACTCTACTACGTAAATACATCTCTCTACGATAACGAATAACGGTAGAGAAATAAGCATGAAACACAAGATCATAAATATTAAATTAGGTAGTGCATACGACAGTAAAGAGAACGTTTACGAAATACGAGTATTTTAGGAGCTTTACGTCAGGAAGTAGGCACGAGAAGTTACGCCACCCTTTCAACTCCAAGCGCCATTACGCAGTCATAAATTCAAATTTAGAATCAATGAATATGTTCTACTATTGTTTATTTATAGTGATAAAGAATTTTGTATTAAGTTCTTCTTTAATTTCTGAGTCTGAGTATGATTTAAAGAAATATTACGCCTAAAATTTAAGTATTTTTTAATTTATTATATTTAATAGAATAAGAGTAACAAACAAGCTGTTGGCGACGCGCCTATAAGAATGTTTCAATTTATTAAGTTAACCGATTACGAATAGCTTCTAAAAAGCAAATTATCAAGTAACAATTTTCCGATAAGAGAATGCTTAGTTGAATCTTAAAGAAATATCGAATTAATGATATGAAGGTCTTGGGTTCGACTCCTAGGCCGGAATAGTTTATCGTTTTCTTAGTAATATCTCTTAATAAATTCATATAGGGAATTTTTAAGATATAAATTATGTTACCGGATTTGTTCCCCGGTTGAAATCATCTTTCCAATGATGTAAATTTAAAGGAATATTAAAATAAATTTAGAGATCGGATTTATTCGATCGACCCGGGTCGAGATGATCACTTTGTGAGTAAATAGAATTAATGGAAATTAATAGCATAAGTGTTGTCTTATATGGGTTTGATATGTTTTGTATGAAAACAAATGCCTATTTGCTATGATTGATTTATGAAAACATTCACTTATATTGTTATCTGATAAGCAATATGATAACTGATAAGAATCTGATTAGAAATAGTTTTCTACAGTTTGAGAATTGTGTAAAAGCATTGATTCACCTTAGTATTGTTGATATTAGTGTATACTAAACTTTCCATTTTTTCTGATAGTCGATAGCCGTGCAAAGTTAGTTGTTCAAATAGTGTGAGTTCACGGACGCACGCTAGCCACGTACTTAGGAGGCCAAATATGTAAAAATTTAAATATTTGTAATTTCAGCAATTTATGTAAAAATGACTTGTGAAACATTTCAGATTTATTGTACGTTTAAAAAAAGTGAATTCTGTGTTATTTTTATGTGAAAATTCCTGTGAATAAATGAAATAATGATAGTTTTGTATAAGAAATTTAAAAGTGTTTTAATAGTGAAGTGAATAGGAAAAATGTAAATTAAACTATTGTATTAGTTAAGATATGTATAATTTCAAGTGGAAAACATTGTTTTAACTTTCTATGTTAAATATTTAAGAAATTTCAACTTCGAACGTGTGAGTAAAATAGGCATATTTTGTTAAATAAATAAAAGGTTTTTTGTGATATGAAAATGTAATGTATATCGTAGTATAGATATTTTTTTTTCTATCTATACAAGTAAATTGTGATAATGTATGACTTATGCAAATAAAGTCATTAAGTAAACCGTGAGAGAGTGATAGAACAAATTCATGTAATTGAGTTGCGCAAGCGTGCGAATGGCGCGGCTCACTTTCGCGTATAGCTCTGGGGTAGCTCAGTAAACGGGTTTTCTTGCAATTCGTCATCAAGGATCTCCTAGGTGTGCGTTGTTTGCAGTTATCAGTGGCTGTAAATGACCGCCGGTACGACATACTCCGCCGAACGTTGAGTCCCGTGATTCCGTGAGGCGTCGAGGTCACCGGCCCCTAGGTGATTCTAGGGCACTTTATGCGCTCCGAGCATCCTGTGCCTAGTCGCGTCATAAAGTGCCACCGTCGCACTTCTCCCAACCCTTTTGTTGACAAAAGGGGTAGGCAGTGCCCAGTGTGATTACCCTAATACGTCATATACCTTGCTATCCGCGTCGCGCTTCGTGCCGAATCGGCTGGCATTTATTAGACAGGGCCTTATATATTACCTGACTGACTTAGGTAGGTATTCAACATGTCCGATAAGGACAAGGGGGAGCCCCCACCTAAACCCAAACCCAGAAGACCACCCGACCGTCCTGGTGTACTTGACCGTCCAATCGCGTATCGCGACATCTTCGATCCTGAAAGGACTAGAGTAGTGTCCTCCTACTCTCAGATCCCGACACGGAAACCCTCCTCACCGGGATTAACTTTAGAAACGACTATTCTATTTTTTGTACAGTTTTTGTTTAATTATATATTTAATCTTGCTAATAAAGAGAGCTTATATTTTTCTGGGACTTTATAAGTATAGAATTAGATTTGGTAACCTAAAGAATTATATTTGGGTCACGATTTGTGCAGATGAACACGCCCTTTACCACGCTTTCTAGCCAGTTTTAGCAGCAATCGACCAAGTAAAGACGTCTATACTAAAAATATCACTATCTTAAAGTCATATATTTAGTAACATTTAAAATTTAATGCTCTATTTTGCCACCGTCAGGTCCGAAATTTTGTTTTAAAATCAATGTGAGACCACTGCTAAAGTTTATCCTATTTCATTAAAAAAGAATCATCTAAATACGTTTACAATTGACAAGCATATCATGTAAACGCAAAAAAAACGTTCACTCGAATTAATAAACTTCTCATAGTTAAGTCAGCTAAAAAGGTACCGTGACATTAATTTTGATTACATAATATATAAATGTACAATACATGTAAATTATCCCCACTTTGCAGCTCTCTACAAGGGACACACGGATCGGAAAAATATCGATTATTAAATTATCAATTACATTCAAAATTTTACCTCAATATATAAATCTGATTTATAAGAATCCCAGCCGAAGTGATAGAGAATATTCAGACATATACATACATGTACATACATATACATACGACATTCATACTTTTTTATAGAATAAGGTTGACAAACGAGCACACATTCCACCTGATTGTAAGTAGTTTTTGTGGCCCATGGACGTGTATTTGTCTACAATAAGGAATAAAAATGAAGATGCATTGTCACACCTGAGAACTTGGAATGCCTCGTAACCTGTAAAAAGTGTCACTGCTTCTCCACACGCACCGTACGAAACACAGCAACCTTAAGCTGCTGTTTAATACTGATATTCTGTGATAACGTGGTCTTGCCTCGTTCAAGCCGACCCATTTACGCCACAACCATTATATAGCTGCCGCGTGGTACCACATTTCTTTTTAAATATTAGTGCTGTTTATGATCATAATTATTAGAAATGCAAACCCGTTATCTATATATTAAATATGGTTGTTTGATCAGGACTAGGTACTGTCGACAAACCTTAGTGGTTTCTATCAACGTCGCTAGATGAAGAGACAACCTGGTAAGATATGCAGGAAGTCGTTGAACGTAGGTGGTTCAGGACGGTGCTTTGTGGCATACCTTCACAACCCTACTGCTGAACATAGGGGAGGCCAATATATATAATAAATAATAATGAAAATAACTACTACTTATTACTTTTTATTGCAATTAAATTTAATTTCTTGGAGCAAAGCACTCGTTGACAGTCTCATAGTATGCGAGCAACCCACGTTCGATGCTTGCAGCCAATGAAATTGTCAATCCCTTTTTCTTAATCTGAAGAACCAAAGTGGTTTAAAGACATGTAAAGCCAACGTGCACTGTAGCAGCACGGCGGACTAATTCCAAAAAAAATTAAGAAACACAAAACTAACCGTGTAGTTGCAGTGTATGAATATCCACTGCCCCATATCGTGCCGTGGGTGTCGTGAGAGGCGGCAGAGGGAGACTGAAGCAGAACACGGACAGCATGTTCCTGATGACAACAATAAAAATACTAACCGTGTAGTGGCGGTGTAAGAATATCCACTGCCCCATATCGTGCCGTGGGTGTCGTGAGTTTGGCACCACGTGGCTTTACTAACGACTGGTTCCTATCCAGTGGGCGGTTGCTTCCAATAGTGCCACCCTTATTTAACAATTTTGCTGCGCCACCACGTGGCTTTACTAACGACTGGTTCCTATCCAGTGGGCGGTTGCTTCCAATAGTGCCACCCTTATTTAACAATTTTGCTGCGCCACCACGTAGCTTTACTAACGACTGGTTCCTATCCAGTGGGCGGTTGCTTCCATTAGTGCCACCCTTATTTAACAATTTTGCTGCGCCACCACGTAGCTTTACTAACGACTGGTTCCTATCCAGTGGGCGGTTGCTTCCAATAGTGCCACCCTTATTTAACAATTTTGCTGCGCCACCACGTGGCTTTACTAACGACTGGTTCCTATCCAGTGGGCGGTTGATTCCAATAGTGCCACCCTTATTTAACAATTTTGCTGCGCCACCACGTAGCTTTACTAACGACTGGTTCCTATCCAGTGGGCGGTTGCTACCAATAGTGCCACCCTTATTTAACAATTTTGCTGCGCCACCACGTAGCTTTACTAACGACTGGTTCCTATCCAGTGGGCGGTTGCTTCCAATAGTGCCACCCTTATTTAGCAATTTTGCTGCGCCACCACGTGGCTTTACTAACGACTGGTTCCTATCCAGTGGGCGGTGGCTTCCAATAGTGCCACCCTTATTTAACAATTTTGCTGCGCCACCACGTGACTTTACTAACGACTGGTTCCTATCCAGTGGGCGGTTGCTTCCAATAGTGCCACCCTTATTTAGCAATTTTGCTGCGCCACCACGTGACTTTACTAACGACTTGTTCCTATCCAGTGGGCGGTTGCTTCCAATAGTGCCACCCTTATTTAACAATTTTGCTGCGCCACCACGTGGCTTTACTAACGACTGGTTCCTATCCAGTGGGCGGTTGCTTCCAATAGTGCCACCCTTATTTAACAATTTTGCTGCGCCACCACGTGGCTTTACTAACGACTGGTTCCTATCCAGTGGGCGGTTGCTTCCATTAGTGCCACCCTTATTTAACAATTTTGCTGCGCCACCACGTGGCTTTACTAACGACTGGTTCCTATCCAGTGGGCGGTTGCTTCCATTAGTGCCACCCTTATTTAACAATTTTGCTGCGCCACCACGTGGCTTTACTAACGACTGGTTCCTATCCAGTGGGCGGTTGCTTCCAATAGTGCCACCCTTATTTAACAATTTTGCTGCGCCACCACGTGGCTTTACTAACGACTGGTTCCTATCCAGTGGGCGGTTGCTTCCAATAGTGCCACCCTTATTTAACAATTTTGCTGCGCCACCACGTGGCTCTACTAACGACTGGTTCCTATCCATTGGGCGGTTGCTTCCAATAGTGCCACCCTTATTTAACAATTTTGCTGCGCCACCACGTGGCTTTACTAACGACTGGTTCCTATCCAGTGGGCGGTTGCTTCCAATAGTGCCACCCTTATTTAACAATTTTGCTGCGCCACCACGTGGCTTTACTAACGACTGGTTCCTATCCAGTGGGCGGTTGCTTCCAATAGTGCCACCCTTATTTAACAATTTTGCTGCGCCACCACGTGGCTTTACTAACGACTGGTTCCTATCCAGTGGGCGGTTGCTTCCAATAGTGCCACCCTTATTTAACAATTTTGCTGCGCCACTACGTGACTTTACTAACGACTGGTTCCTATCCAGTGGGCGGTTGCTTCCAATAGTGCCACCCTTATTTAACAATTTTGCTGCGCCACCACGTGACTTTACTAACGACTTGTTCCTATCCAGTGGGCGGTTGCTTCCAATAGTGCCACCCTTATTTAACAATTTTGCTGCGCCACCACGTGGCTTTACTAACGACTGGTTCCTATCCAGTGGGCGGTTGCTTCCAATAGTGCCACCCTTATTTAACAATTTTGCTGCGCCACCACGTGGCTTTACTAACGACTGGTTCCTATCCAGTGGGCGGTTGCTTCCATTAGTGCCACCCTTATTTAACAATTATGCTGCGCCACCACGTGGCTTTACTAACGACTGGTTCCTATCCAGTGGGCGGTTGCTTCCAATAGTGCCACCCTCATTTAACAATTTTGCTGCGCCACCACGTGGCTTTACTAACGACTGGTTCCTATCCAGTGGACGGTTGCTTCCAATAGTGCCACCCTTATTTAACAATTTTGCTGCGCCACCACGTGGCTTTACTAACGACTGGTTCCTATCCAGTGGGCGGTTGCTTCCAATAGTGCCACCCTTATTTAACGATTTTGCTGCGCCACCACGTGACTTTACCAACGACTGGTTCCTATCCAGTGGGCGGTTGCTTCCAATAGTGCCACCCTTATTTAACAATTTTGCTGCGCCACCACGTGGCTTTACTAACGACTGGTTCCTATCCAGTGGGCGGTTGCTTCCAATAGTGCCACCCTTATTTAACAATTTTGCTGCGCCACCACGTGGCTTTACTAACGACTGGTTCCTATCCAGTGGGCGGTTGCTTCCAATAGTGCCACCCTTATTTAACAATTTTGCTGCGCCACCACGTGGCTTTACTAACGACTGGTTCCTATCCAGTGGGCGGTTGCTTCCAATAGTGCCACCCTTATTTAACAATTTTGCTGCGCCACCACGTGGCTTTACTAACGACTGGTTCCTATCCAGTGGGCGGTTGCTTCCAATAGTGCCACCCTTATTTAACAATTTTGCTGCGCCACCACGTGGCTTTACTAACGACTGGTTCCTATCCAGTGGGCGGTTGCTTCCAATAGTGCCACCCTTATTTAACAATTTTGCTGCGCCACCACGTGGCTTTACTAACGACTGGTTCCTATCCAGTGAGCGGTTGCTTCCAATAGTGCCACCCTTATTTAACAATTTTGCTGCGCCACCACGTGGCTTTACTAACGACTGGTTCCTATCCAGTGGGCGGTTGCTTCCAATAGTGCCACCCTTATTTAACAATTTTGCTGCGCCACCACGTGGCTTTACTAACGACTGGTTCCTATCCAGTGGGCGGTTGCTTCCAATAGTGCGACCCTTATTTAACAATTTTGCTGCGCCACCACGTGGCTTTACTAACGACTGGTTCCTATCCAGTGGGCGGTTGCTTCCAATAGTGCCACCCTTATTTAACAATTTTGCTGCGCCACCACGTGGCTTTACTAACGACTGGTTCCTATCCAGTGGGCGGTTGCTTCCAATAGTGCCACCCTTATTTAATAATTTTGCTGCGCCACCACGTGGCTTTACTAACGACTGGTTCCTATCCAGTGGGCGGTTGCTTCCAATAGTGCCACCCTTATTTAACAATTTTGCTGCGCCACCACGTGGCTTTACTAACGACTGGTTCCTATCCAGTGGGCGGTTGCTTCCAATAGTGCCACCCTTATTTAACAATTTTGCTGCGCCACCACGTGGCTTTACTAACGACTGGTTCCTATCCAGTGGGCGGTTGCTTCCAATAGTGCCACCCTTATTTAACAATTTTGCTGCGCCACCACGTGGCTTTACTAACGACTGGTTCCTATCCAGTGGGCGGTTGCTTCCAATAGTGCCACCCTTATTTAACAATTTTGCTGCGCCACCACGTGACTTTACTAACGACTGGTTCCTATCCAGTGGGCGGTTGCTTCCAATAGTGCCACCCTTATTTAGCAATTTTGCTGCGCCACCACGTGACTTTACTAACGACTGGTTCCTATCCAGTGGGCGGTTGCTTCCAATAGTGCCACCCTTATTTAACAATTTTGCTGCGCCACCACGTGACTTTACTAACGACTGGTTCCTATCCAGTGGGCGGTTGCTTCCAATAGTGCCACCCTTATTTAACAATTTTGCTGCGCCACCACGTGGCTTTACTAACGACTCGTTCCTATCCAGTGTGCGGTTGCTTCCATTAGTGCCACCCTTATTTAACAATTTTGCTGCGCCACCACGTGGCTTTACTAACGACTGGTTCCTATCCAGTGGGCGGTTGCTTCCATTAGTGCCACCCTTATTTAACAATTTTGCTGCGCCACCACGTGGCTTTACTAACGACTGGTTCCTATCCAGTGGGCGGTTGCTTCCAATAGTGCCACCCTTATTTAACAATTTTGCTGCGCCACCACGTGGCTTTACTAACGACTGGTTCCTATCCAGTGGGCGGTTGCTTCCAATAGTGCCACCCTTATTTAACAATTTTGCTGCGCCACCACGTGGCTTTACTAACGACTGGTTCCTATCCAGTGGGCGGTTGCTTCCAATAGTGCCACCCTTATTTAACAATTTTGCTGCGCCACCACGTGGCTTTACTAACGACTGGTTCCTATCCAGTGGGCGGTTGCTTCCAATAGTGCCACCCTTATTTAACAATTTTGCTGCGCCACCACGTGGCTTTACTAACGACTGGTTCCTATCCAGTGGGCGGTTGCTTCCAATAGTGCCACCCTTATTTAACAATTTTGCTGCGCCACCACGTGGCTTTACTAACGACTGGTTCCTATCCAGTGGGCGGTTGCTTCCAATAGTGCCACCCTTATTTAACAATTTTGCTGCGCCACCACGTGACTTTTCTAACGACTGGTTCCTATCCAGTGGGCGGTTGCTTCCAATAGTGCCACCCTTATTTAACAATTTTGCTGCGCCACCACGTGACTTTACTAACGACTTGTTCCTATCCAGTGGGCGGTTGCTTCCAATAGTGCCACCCTTATTTAACAATTTTGCTGCGCCACCACGTGACTTTACTAACGACTGGTTCCTATCCAGTGAGCGGTTGCTTCCAATAGTGCCACCCTTATTTAACAATTTTGCTGCGCCACCACGTGGCTTTACTAACGACTGGTTCCTATCCAGTGGGCGGTTGCTTCCAATAGTGCCACCCTTATTTAACAATTTTGCTGCGCCACCACGTGGCTTTACTAACGACTGGTTCCTATCCAGTGGGCGGTTGCTTCCAATAGTGCCACCCTTATTTAACAATTTTGCTGCGCCACCACGTGGCTTTACTAACGACTGGTTCCTATCCAGTGGGCGGTTGCTTCCAATAGTGCCACCCTTATTTAACAATTTTGCTGCGCCACCACGTGACTTTACTAACGACTGGTTCCTATCCAGTGGGCGGTTGCTTCCAATAGTGCCACCCTTATTTAACAATTTTGCTGCGCCACCACGTGGCTTTACTAACGACTGGTTCCTATCCAGTGGGCGGTTGCTTCCAATAGTGCCACCCTTATTTAACAATTTTGCTGCGCCACTACGTGACTTTACTAACGACTGGTTCCTATCCAGTGGGCGGTTGCTTCCAATAGTGCCACCCTTATTTAGCAATTTTGCTGCGCCACCACGTGACTTTACTAACGACTTGTTCCTATCCAGTGGGCGGTTGCTTCCAATAGTGCCACCCTTATTTAACAATTTTGCTGCGCCACCACGTGGCTTCACTAACGACTGGTTCCTATCCAGTGGGCGGTTGCTTCCAATAGTGCCACCCTTATTTAACAATTTTGCTGCGCCACCACGTGGCTTTACTAACGACTGGTTCCTATCCAGTGGGCGGTTGCTTCCATTAGTGCCACCCTTATTTAACAATTTTGCTGCGCCACCACGTGGCTTTACTAACGACTGGTTCCTATCCAGTGGGCGGTTGCTTCCATTAGTGCCACCCTTATTTAACAATTTTGCTGCGCCACCACGTGGCTTTACTAACGACTGGTTCCTATCCAGTGGGCGGTTGCTTCCAATAGTGCCACCCTTATTTAACAATTTTGCTGCGCAACCACGTGGCTTTACTAACGACTGGTTCCTATCCAGCGGGCGGTTGCTTCCAATAGTGCCACCCTTATTTAACAATTTTGCTGCGCCACCACGTGGCTTTACTAACGACTGGTTCCTATCCAGTGGGCGGTTGCTTCCAATAGTGCCACCCTTATTTAACAATTTTGCTGCGCCACCACGTGGCTTTACTAACGACTGGTTCCTATCCAGTGGGCGGTTGCTTCCAATAGTGCCACCCTTATTTAACAATTTTGCTGCGCCACCACGTGGCTTTACTAACGACTGGTTCCTATCCAGTGGGCGGTTGCTTCCAATAGTGCCACCCTTATTTAACAATTTTGCTGCGCCACCACGTGGCTTTACTAACGACTGGTTCCTATCCAGTGGGCGGTTGCTTCCAATAGTGCCACCCTTATTTAACAATTTTGCTGCGCCACCACGTGGCTTTACTAACGACTGGTTCCTATCCAGTGGGCGGTTGCTTCCAATAGTGCCACCCTTATTTAACAATTTTGCTGCGCCACCACGTGGCTTTACTAACGACTGGTTCCTATCCAGTGGGCGGTTGCTTCCATTAGTGCCACCCTTATTTAACAATTTTGCTGCGCCACCACGTAGCTTTACTAACGACTGGTTCCTATCCATTGGGCGGTTGCTTCCAATAGTGCCACCCTTATTTAACAATTTTGCTGCGCCACCACGTGGCTTTACTAACGACTGGTTCCTATCCAGTGGGCGGTTGCTTCCAATAGTGCCACCCTTATTTAACAATTTTGCTGCGCCACCACGTAGCTTTACTAACGACTGGTTCCTATCCAGTGGGCGGTTGCTACCAATAGTGCCACCATTATTTAACAATTTTGCTGCGCCACCACGTAGCTTTACTAACGACTGGTTCCTATCCAGTGGGCGGTTGCTTCCAATAGTGCCACCCTTATTTAGCAATTTTGCTGCGCCACCACGTGGCTTTACTAACGACTGGTTCCTATCCAGTGGGCGGTTGCTTCCAATAGTGCCACCCTTATTTAACAATTTTGCTGCGCCACCACGTGACTTTACTAACGACTGGTTCCTATCCAGTGGGCGGTTGCTTCCAATAGTGCCACCCTTATTTAGCAATTTTGCTGCGCCACCACGTGACTTTACTAACGACTTGTTCCTATCCAGTGGGCGGTTGCTTCCAATAGTGCCACCCTTATTTAACAATTTTTGCTGCGCCACCACGTGGCTTTACTAACGACTGGTTCCTATCCAGTGGGCGGTTGCTTCAATAGTGCCACCCTTATTTAACAATTTTGCTGCGCCACCACGTGGCTTTACCAACGACTGGTTCCTATCCAGTGGGCGGTTGCTTCCATTAGTGCCACCCTTATTAAACAATTTTGCTGCGCCACCACGTGGCTTTACTAACGACTGGTTCCTATCCAGTGGGCGGTTGCTTCCATTAGTGCCACCCTTATTTAACAATTTTGCTGCGCCACCACGTGGCTTTACTAACGACTGGTTCCTATCCAGTGGGCGGTTGCTTCCAATAGTGCCACCCTTATTTAACAATCTTGCTGCGCCACCACGTGGCTTTACTAACGACTGGTTCCTATCCAGTGGGCGGTTGCTTCCAATAGTGCCACCCTTATTTAACAATTTTGCTGCGCCACCACGTGGCTTTACTAACGACTGGTTCCTATCCATTGGGCGGTTGCTTCCAATTGTGCCACTCTTATTTAACAATTTTGCTGCGCCACCACGTGGCTTTACTAACGACTGGTTCCTATCCAGTGGGCGGTTGCTTCCAATAGTGCCACCCTTATTTAACAATTTTGCTGCGCCACCACGTGGCTTTACTAACGACTGGTTCCTATCCAGTGGGCGGTTGCTTCCAATAGTGCCACCCTTATTTAACAATTTTGCTGCGCCACCACGTGGCTTTACTAACGACTGGTTCCTATCCAGTGGGCGGTTGCTTCCAATAGTGCCACCCTTATTTAACAATTTTGCTGCGCCACCACGTGACTTTTCTAACGACTGGTTCCTATCCAGTGGGCGGTTGCTTCCAATAGTGCCACCCTTATTTAGCAATTTTGCTGCGCCACCACGTGACTTTACTAACGACTTGTTCCTATCCAGTGGGCGGTTGCTTCCAATAGTGCCACCCTTATTTAACAATTTTGCTGCGCCACCACGTGACTTTACTAACGACTGGTTCCTATCCAGTGAGCGGTTGCTTCCAATAGTGCCACCCTTATTTAACAATTTTGCTGCGCCACCACGTGGCTTTACTAACGACTGGTTCCTATCCAGTGGGCGGTTGCTTCCAATAGTGCCACCCTTATTTAACAATTTTGCTGCGCCACCACGTGGCTTTACTAACGACTGGTTCCTATCCAGTGGGCGGTTGCTTCCAATAGTGCCACCCTTATTTAACAATTTTGCTGCGCCACCACGTGGCTTTACTAACGACTGGTTCCTATCCAGTGGGCGGTTGCTTCCAATAGTGCCACCCTTATTTAACAATTTTGCTGCGCCACCACGTAGTTTTACTAACGACTGGTTCCTATCCAGTGGGCGGTTGCTTCCAATAGTGCCACCCTTATTTAACAATTTTGCTGCGCCACCACGTGGCTTTACTAACGACTGGTTCCTATCCAGTGGGCGGTTGCTTCCATTAGTGCCACCCTTATTTAACAATTTTGCTGCGCCACCACGTGGCTTTACTAACGACTGGTTCCTATCCAGTGGGCGGTTGCTTCCAATAGTGCCACCCTTATTTAACAATTTTGCTGCGCCACCACGTGGCTTTACTAACGACTGGTTCCTATCCAGTGGACGGTTGCCTCCAATAGTGCTACCCTTATTTAACAATTTTGCTGCGCCACCACGTGGCTTTACTAACGACTGGTTCCTATCCAGTGGGTGGTTGCTTCCAATAGTGCCACCCTTATTTAACGATTTTGCTGCGCCACCACGTGACTTTACTAACGAATGGTTCCTATCCAGTGGGCGGTTGCTTCCAATAGTGCCACCCTTATTTAACAATTTTGCTGCGCCACCACGTGGCTTTACTAACGACTGGTTCCTATCCAGTGGGCGGTTGCTTCCAATAGTGCCACCCTTATTTAGCAATTTTGCTGCGCCACCACGTGACTTTACTAACGACTGGTTCCTATCCAGTGGGCGGTTGCTTCCAATAGTGCCACCCTTATTTAACAATTTTGCTGTGCCACCACGTGGCTTTACTAACGACTGGTTCCTATCCAGTGGGCGGTTGCTTCCAATAGTGCCACCCTTATTTAACAATTTTGCTGCGCCACCACGTAGCTTTACTAACGACTGGTTCCTATCCAGTGGGCGGTTGCTTCCATTAGTGCCACCCTTATTTAACAATTTTGCTGCGCCACCACGTAGCTTTACTAACGACTGGTTCCTATCCAGTGGGCGGTTGCTTCCAATAGTGCCACCCTTATTTAACAATTTTGCTGCGCCACCACGTGGCTTTACTAACGACTGGTTCCTATCCAGTGGGCGGTTGCTTGCAATAGTGCCACCCTTATTTAACAATTTTGCTGCGCCACCACGTAGCTTTACTAACGACTGGTTCCTATCCAGTGGGCGGTTGCTTCCAATAGTGCCACCCTTATTTAACAATTTTGCTGCGCCACCACGTAGCTTTACTAACGACTGGTTCCTATCCAGTGGGCGGTTGCTTCAATAGTGCCACCCTTATTTAGCAATTTTGCTGCGCCACCACGTGGCTTTACTAACGACTGGTTCCTATCCAGTGGGCGGTTGCTTCCAATAGTGCCACCCTTATTTAACAATTTTGCTGCGCCACCACGTAGCTTTACTAACGACTGGTTCCTATCCAGTGGGCGGTTGCTTCCAATAGTGCCACCCTTATTTAACAATTTTGCTGCGCCACCACGTGGCTTTACTAACGACTGGTTCCTATCCAGTGGGCGGTTGCTTCCATTAGTGCCACCCTTATTTAACAATTTTGCTGCGCCACCACGTGGCTTTACTAACGACTGATTCCTAACCAGTGGGCGGTTGCTTCCAATAGTGCCACCCTTATTTTACAATTTAGCTGCGCCACCACGTGGCTTTACTAACGACTTGTTCCTATCCAGTGGGCGGTTGCTTCCAATAGTGCCACCCTTATTTAACAATTTTGCTGCGCCACCACGTGACTTTACTAACGACTGGTTCCTATCCAGTGGGCGGTTGCTTCCAATAGTGCCACCCTTATTTAACAATTTTGCTGCGCCACCACGTGGCTTTACTAACGACTGGTTCCTATCCAGTGGGCGGTTGCTTCCAATAGTGCCACCCTTATTTAACAATTTTGCTGCGCCACCACGTAGCTTTACTAACGACTGGTTCCTATCCAGTGGGCGGTTGCTTCCAATAGTGCCACCCTTATTTAACAATTTTGCTGCGCCACCACGTAGCTTTACTAACGACTCTTTCCTATCCAGTGGGCGGTTGCTTCCAATAGTGCCACCCTTATTTAGCAATTTTGCTGCGTCACCACGTGGCTTTACTAACGACTGGTTCCTATCCAGTGGGCGGTTGCTTCCAATAGTGCCACCCTTATTTAACAATTTTGCTGCGCCACCACGTAGCTTTACTAACGACTGGTTCCTATCCAGTGGGCGGTTGCTTCCAATAGTGCCACCCTTATTTAACAATTTTGATGCGCCACCACGTGGCTTTACTAACGACTGGTTCCTATCCAGTGGGCGGTTGCTTCCATTAGTGCCACCCTTATTTAACAATTTTGCTGCGCCACCACGTGGCTTTACTAACGACTTGTTCCTATCCAGTGGGCGGTTGCTTCCAATAGTGCCACCCTTATTTAACAATTTTGCTGCGCCACCACGTGGCTTTACTAACGACTGATTCCTATCCAGTGGGCGGTTGCTTCCAATAGTGCCACCCTTATTTAACAATTTTGCTGCGCCACCACGTGGCTTTACTAACGACTTGTTCCTATCCAGTGGGCGGTTGCTTCCAATAGTGCCACCCTTATTTAACAATTTTGCTGCGCCACCACGTGGCTTTACTAACGACTGGTTCCTATCCAGTGGGCGGTTGCTTCCAATAGCGTCACCCTTATTTAACAATTTTCGCTGAATAAAAATTTTATACGTTTTAAAAGATAGGTCGTGCATATTTGTAGGGGTTTGTTGTGAAAGCGTAATTACCGACTGTTTGGAGTTTGGATTAAGTAGTATTACTAGTTTGTGCTTGTCCCTAATATTTACAGGTTTTTTTTGATAAAAAATATCTTTTGTTTCAGTTTTAATTAAATTAACATGCGTACCCGTACAATATTTTATATTATTTTTAAATAAAACAAATTCAATACTAAAACAAAAAAAAATTGTAAAACAACGCTGTATTTTACGGATATTTATGAGTCTCATCATGCCATCTAGTTCAAGTTTTATTGAAGTCCTAACACTAATTGATTTCACTATAAAAATGATTGTTCTAGGCAGTATGAGTCTGTAAATCTTTTTTACTTCATTTTAGTTATTTTAGTTAAACTAAAGAGGAAAAGAATTGCATCTAGAGGTTCGGCCCAACACTCAAATTGATGTAACAAAATGGATTAACTTTTCTATACGACTGTACTTCATCACACGTCTTGTTATGATAGGGCGGCTGCTTGACCGCAGATAAGTGCGAAATGGACAGCGTGGGTGGAACTCAAGTGTGGAGTGTTTTAATAAAGATTAGAAGCAGTCACAAGGAATTTTGGGCTATTTTATTAAGTTCTATCGTATGTAGCCATTTTTTTATTTGTTTCTGTAGTGACAACTTACGTAAAAAATGTGAAATGGTGAGGTAAAAATTTAAAACTAATTTTTACAAGTTTGTGAAGCTCAGAGGTTTTTACTTCTGACGCACAGTTCGAGTACGACTGACAGTTTTTTAACGCTACAGCCCCACACTAGGATTTTGTCATACAGAATTTTCACAAGGACAATTATTTGTATACATATAGTTGTTTCGCGCGGTATTCGAACCCGCGGTCATTAGCACCGTAACTCATTGTCAAGCCACTACGCCACTGAGCCGTCAGTTCATACAGAAATAAACTTATATTTTAACATTTTAGTTATACAATTTTTCTTGTTTCAAAAATTTAATAAAATCATACTACTTAATGTTTAATAATTTAAGGTGTTCAAACTTAAATCTTAACGTAAGTTGCCCCGTGGCGCAGTGACTTAGTGATGAGTCGCGGCGCTGAGGGCCGCGGGTTTAAATCCCGCATGGAATAAGTAATTGTATGGGCTACGAATAGTTGTTTTAGGTATGGATGTTTGTCGTTGTACAATTTATGTAAGCTGCCTCCACGATACAGGGAAAAATCCTAGTGTGTGTGTAACATTATCATTTAGAAGAAGAATAATAAAATATAAACTTACTGTCGGCAGGTCCGCCACTAGGTTGAGTGACGAACTAAGTTAGCTGAATCAATTGCCTAGAACCTTGTATTGTGTTAATCTTGCAATCACGATATAGATGCTGCGTGACTCTACCACGTATGATTACCTACTTGTTAGATGGCCAACTATCATTTTATCCACACACACCTATCTGCGAATTAGCTGAGTGCACTGCTTGGGGTTGTGGTTTTCCTTTAGCAATTTTTCCTCTTATAACATTGCTCTTTTGACATAGTCATCCTTAAACAACATGATTAATTAGAAATAAGACATTATTTTACCGTATGTTGGCAGCATAAGAGGGTCTCATCCCATGGATGTCGTAGGACTAAAGAAATTTTCCGACAGATTTCGTGGGCTCTGCATAAGTGACTAATGCAGCATCTAAGGCTAAGCTAACCAAATGTAGCGATTACTGTAACCTTTCCCTACTAGGTATGCAAAAATCCAAAGTACAACAGTGGTCTCTTTAACCCTTGATTTACCACCCTAATTAAAATATCACTTATCACCACCATGAGCCCCCGGGACTTTTTTTAAATAAAAACTAAACGAAGGATGTTATTTATGTTGTTATTTATTAGACTTCAAGCAAACACAATAATTCGTACATATATCCGGTAATATTTTGTTATAAACTCAAATTAAAACGCAGTTTAAAATTACTTTAAAATTAACAGTCATCAAAAATCGTCTGTTACGACTTACAAAAGAAAATATAAATGTTGTAGCTCTTGGACGAAATAAAATATTTTTTCTTATAGAAGAAATTATGAGATAATTAAAAATAATAATAATAATTAATAGTGTCACTATACAAAATTTCAAAACGTGCAATAAGTTAACATACTAATGTGTTACACATTCTTCGCATTCATCTTTTGGAACAAGTAAGGCAGATTGGCTTCTTACAGACAGTGCAAATATAAGCAGTCTTTGTTCGTTTCTTATGATTGCAAGTATAGCAATATTTGAGCTGATCTATCGGTAAAATATTATCAGTTTGCGTTGTACTTGGTTGATCAAGAATGTCTAAGTCATGGTACTCGTATGTTGTACAAGTTACTAAGGATAGTATAGAAGTTCAAAAGAACAGGAAAGAAAAGAAGAACAGGAGTTCTTCAGTCTCGGAGCATTCGGAATTGGTGTCGTGAGCACTCACAATATAATCGGCTTCGGCGTTATCAGAATGTGGCTCACGAATACATTCAGCTGCATAGCCACTGCCATCGCCAATCTCCTCATCTTCGTCCAGTAAATCATATTCTTGCAGCCTCATTCAAGAAAAGAAAAGAGCTTACTCCTTTTTAAAGGGCCGACAACGCACCTGCAATTCGTCTGCAGTAGCGGATGTTCATCGACGGCGGTAGTCACTTAACATCAGGTGGACCGAATGCTCGTTTGCCTCCTCTTCTATGAAAAAAAGCCATTCATTTATGATATCTGAGGCTATATCATCTGCAAAGTTTACCGATACAATCATTCTACGTTTAGATGCCATAGTTAAAGCCTGAAACAAAATTAACATAGATAAACAAAATAGTCAGTAAATCCATTTGTGTCACATAACATTCCACCATGAGTCCCTGGGACTCACACTCAGTCATATTTACCTTTCCGAACGACGTGCGCACGCGACCGCTCACCTCTGCGCCCCGCGTCTCACCGCAGGAAGGTACTAGAAAGCGCAAGTCTAAACTTTAAAAAATAAACTACTTTTTTATTGTTTAAAAGTGGTGGTGAGTCCCGTGGACTCAGGGTGGTACATTAAGGGTTAAAGACTCACGAGGACAACTTTAATCATGCTACAAGAACATTTTTAAATGACTTTTACCTCTTCAGCGCAGTGGTTAAGACAACCGCCGCGGGCAACGTGTTCGAATTGGATAGGTGGGTCTACGCTAGAGGAGCCGAGCACGAGCTGGGCACAAGCTGAACAGCTCTACTCGCGGTGTCGAGGGTGGACGTGCAACGAGCCTACAACATGCAAATCGATGCATGCGATTCAAATCCCTTTGTGTTCGTCAAAAAACCGACAATAGGCGGAGCACAGTCGAGCATGAACCGAACGCTCGAAGCGCGCTCGTTCGAGGCTTGTACGTAAGTCGATCCACACTACATGAATTTGTGCTCGACACATGCTCCGCTCGTGCACGTCTCGTATAGCGTAGACCCATCTAAAGAGTTTGAATTCCGTACGGATCAAGTATTTCTATGACCTAAGATTATGTCTTAAACCACCTCCACGTTGCAGTTGCAGGAGAAGCTCCTATGATAATAGGTAAAGTAAATTTGCTGGGCACAAGCCTCCTCTCACTTCTAAGAGGGTTTTAGGGCTAAAAAGCGTCCACCGCGCTGCCTTTAAACGCATTGGCGTTTGACAGATTTCACATGCTTTCGAGTTTTTTTATATTTCACTGGTGCCGGTTTCCTCACGGTCTTTTCCTTTAGCGCTAAGCACATGGTATATCAGCACTTAAAATTGCAATTAATAATTTCATTGATGCACGCGGGGATTGGACCCGGGTTGCCAGCGTCCTGTAAAATATAATTTCGTAATATGTCTAGATTAAGACCTTTGTAGCTCATTTAGCTCGTATTACTGCATTATACACATAAGCGAGATATTAAGAATGAACACTCAACAGTACTGCACGTGGGGTCCCGGCCTCGCTGACATCACTAATTGACCGCTAGCGGCCCCTTTTGTAATTTTTTTGCTCCTCTCAAACCAGATGCCTTAAATTTCAGATGTTCACTTTGAACAGCGAATTCAAAGAGTATTATTGGTGTGGATAATGCATTTAAGAGTTAAAAAATATTTATATAGTAGTTATTAATTAAAATATCATAATTATAATGCTATATTTTCGCGCCGCTTTGCTTGCGTGCATTTAGTCTCTATAAACTGTTAAAGAAAGTGAAATCAACTACACAAGAACAAAAATTATATAATCATCGAAAGTTGTTGATATGCGGAAGATAAAAAAAGCATTACATAGATTTTGGTCGTGTATCGTGGATGCAGTTTACATACATAAATTGTACAAGGATAAACATCCAGACCCAGAATAATTATTTGTATGTCATAAAATTATTTTTTCGGAACGAGCCCGCGCATTTCAGCGCCTAACTTAATTCTAAGCCGCTCTGTCCCGGAAATTTTTCTTACGTGTGGTGAAGATGCCATGAGAAATTCAAGAATTTGAATATTGTGGCTGGATTCCATCATTGAAGCATAATATCGTAGAGGTATTTATATGGGCAACCACTAAGGTAGGGGTACCCGTACCAACAAAAAAAAATTTAAATCGGACAACTTGGTAAAAATTATCACTGCACACAAAAATTAGGTTACCTATATACGAAACTAGTAGAAGCTGTTATAATATTTATACTCAGCAGAAGTCAGTAGTCATAGGTCAATTCCGCAGATCCCTAGTAACGTTTTGTCCATTTTTAATCGGGCGCCCGTGGGCGAGCGCGACACATTGTGAGGGGGTGGTTTTCACGAACACTAAAACTAACATCTAGATATGTAAGCGGATATGCAAACTTCGAGAAAAAGTTTGGTTTATAACGTCATTTTATGTGTTACAAAAGATAGTAATATTTTATACCCTATTATGAATTTTCTTTTATTAACTGAAATTAAAAATTTTACACTATCTAACCATTGCTATAATTAGGGGTATCAATATAAGGTTACATATCTTAATTTTAATAATTAATTAATTATTATCATAAAATGCAATAATAATATATTAAACCATGGTTATGACACTGCACATCACAGATAAATCCTATTGAACTGTATAAAGTTAAAAGTAAAGTTACAGCCTATATACGTCCCAGTGCTGGGCTCAGATCTCCCCCTCATTTCTGAGAGGGTTTAGGGCAAGCAAGTGTCCGCCGCGCTGCCCAAATGCGTGTTGACGAACTTCACATGTCTTCGAAATATTGAACTGTATGTGCGCAAGTAATTAAAAAGAAATATGTAGCATATTCTTTTTTTAAATATGTTTGTAATTTTTTTATTACTAACCAGTAATATTTTCACAAGCGAAATTATCTCTTATTATATTCACGAACACAAATAAATTTGTAACGACTTGATTTAATAATCGCCTTCTTTCCTTGCTCGACCATTTGAATTAGGAAAATCGAAACCACTTAATGACGCCTATTGTTCTACATTTTCATTCGTTAGGTAAATTTTAAAAATTGCGATCATTTTTAAATGTTTTACTAAATTTTAGAACATTTGTACATAGCAGCCTATCAAGTTCACTGCTGGACAAAGGCCTCCCCATAGATTGCCACATAAGGGGCACTTGTTCTATAGCTGCCACGCTTGCCAGGTGTGTTTGCAACAGTTTTTTCAAGTTGTAGCAAGACGCTGCCACACACCTCCTGGTTTGTTTCCCTACGACACCCACGGGACGATATGGGGTAGGTTTGGAATTATTTACACCGATATTATTTTTTATTAATTTATTAATTTATTTAAACTTACCAACTAAGCACATATGAAGCTTTTTAGCTATATTTACTTATAACCTTATAACACTATTGTTGGCGATGCGAGATAAACATCTCATTAATTCTTTAAATATTTCTTAAAGAATTTGAGGACTAATTAATTTTTATTAAATGCTAATTTCTGAGTAAAGAAAGGTTATTTATAGTAGCTTAGATTCATGCTTTACATGGTAATCGGCTATGTAATACGATATAAATAAAGAATTAAGAACGTTCTATTCGTTTTTTTGCACTTTTGATTGTTTTATGTGTAGTCTTTTAAAGTTTTAATCACCCATAAGTCATACCAATGTGTTAGATAAAGACAGTTTAATGCTAGTGTGAAATGGTGTATATGTAAGACAAGGATAAGTATAAATCCAGAGGATTGTGCAAATTTAGAGTTTGCCAACTTATATAGGTATATTATTATTATTTAATAGGTAATTAGCAGAAAGAAAAAAGCAAGTCCTAACCGTATCATGAGAATATTAATTAAATATTATTTTTATTACTAAAAGTTTTAAAAATGTTTAAAAGCGAATTTTTAACATTTTATCTAACTTTTGTGTTAAAGTAAGAAGATAGAAATGTCAATGACATACAATTTTAATAATAAAAATAGCGAAATAATGGGAATATTAAATACCTAATACATTAAAGATGTAATTTTGCTTCAAGTTTTGTATAAAAATCTATTTAAAGTTTTTATTCACTATTTTAATAAAAATATTGATGGAATTTGTATCATAAAAACTGTATTTAATATTTAAAGGTTTATGACCACATGAAATTGTTTATAGGATAACTATATTATGCTTTATATTTTATTAATGCCTTTATATAATGTGAATGTTTAATTGTTTTATGATTTGTTTAAATTTGTAATTTTTGTGAAATATAGTTGTTTTGTGTTATTATTTCGAGGTATAAAATAAGATGCAATATATGGAAATGTGATAGTGAAAATCATCGATACATGAGGGGGGTTTTCGCGGCTGATTCTCCTTAAGGTTTAGCTTTAGTAAGTCGCTCAATTATCGATTCATACGGGACCAGCTATAGTTTCCAGTTATAAACTTATAAATCAAGGAAGAAAACAAAATTAGGAAAAAAACAGTAAAAGTAGTGAAACTTCAGTATTACATTTCCAAGGGGCAGTTACGAATAATGCTGCTTTATTTCACCGGTGTGTACCTTATAAGCAGGGAAACAGATACATAGAATACAGTCCACTAAGTTCATGACTGACGTCTGGACCAGGACCATTCACTGGAGCCCGTAATCTTAGTCGTCAACCACTTTTTTTAAGAAACGGACTTGTCGCACGGAGTGGAACGTCTAGGTTCACGCCCACTGGGTTGCTTCGAACGCAGCGTAGTGGTGTAGGTTGTCCCTGATAGGAGACGCAAGAACAGTATCTCATAAGTCCATTGTGGTAGGACTTCGCGGCCGGACGAAGAAACTAGCCGAAGGAAGAGGCGCGGACGTCTCCCTTTTTTGGTTGTTATGAACCAAGTCTTTTTTACTAAATATATGTACTTAAATTAAAGGTGAGTACAACACTTAGATTAATGCAATTATTTTATTTAAAAACGAAAAATGAAATGGAGTGTAAGATTTAAGTAAAAAAAGCAAAAATTTAAATAAAACAGTAAAATAAAGTTATATTAAATACAGTTATTTAATTTATATTACAATTTAGAATGAATGTTTGTGTCTTGTAACTCGATATCCTTATCTATATATAATGTATGT